GCTTCCCAAGAGGCCCACAAACTACCCCCAAGAGGCCCCCAAGAGCGCTCGTCGTCGTCGTCGTCGTCGCCATTCGGGGTCGGCGGCACCGGCCGTAAGGCCTTCGCAATATTATAAGGGGTGAGAGATGCATCTGAAATTCCCGAATCGGCCCCGAGTCCAACATTGTCCCGGGGCCGCCCCCTGACTGTTTCCGAACCCTCTCTCTTGGGGCCGTCAGCCGCCGCCTTTGGGGGGCATCCTGGAGCCATCGCGATGTAATATTGCAATCATGGGGCAGAGCCGAGTGCCAAACTGCAAGGTGCTTCCTCTCTGTGCGGTTTCCCTCAGAAGTTGAAGACCACGCGGCAAGACGGAGCAGGCGAATTCTGATGTAAAATTGCAAAGATGCCTGCATGGCCACCTGGAGGCCATCCTGGGGCATTGGAAAGCCATCGGAAACTAAACATCGCCTAGTCAAAGATCCCTGCACAACCTTCCTTTCTGTTTCTGATTGTCCGGACCATCTCGGCGCTTTTCGGGGTGTCTTGGGGGCATGGCAGAGGCGGGATTTCGGAGGCAATCCTGGGGGGTCGCGCCACCCCGTCCAAACCCCTTAGGAAAGGGCGTTGAGGACGGGTTCAGTGGGGACACGGGTTTGCTCCTTCGAGCCGGGTCTTGCCGCAACGAGCGAGCGAGGATGACGACGGAGGAGCATGGGGTGAGGAGGTGAGGAAGAAGAGGAAAGGAAGGAACAAACAGGGAAGAGGACGATGACGAGGAGGAGAAGGAGGCGAGGAGCAGGGGGGGAACGGAGAGGAGGAATGGAAAGCATGACGCCCTCTGGAGGCGCCATGGGGCCACCTTGAGGCCTTGGAACGCTATAGGGACGAAACGGCAAGAACAATACAACTCTTTACGAAGCCCTCCTTTCGGTTTGTGGAAACATGTGGGATCTTAGATGTACATCGAAGGTGCCTGCGGCGAATCACCTCCGTCCCCTGCCTTCTAGACTCGCCCATGTGGCCGAGCGTTGCGGCAAGAGCTCCGCCAAGCTATTGGACCATGTGTTCCACCAACCGTTGTGGAAACTCTCCGGAGAACACTTGGGGGAGGATTGCGGGGAAGAGCAGGAGGAGGCGGAGGAGGAGAAAGGGGGAGGAGGAGGAGGAGGAGGAGGAGGAGGAGGAGGAGGAGGAGGAGGAGGAGGAGGAGGAGGAGGAGGAGGAGGAGGAGGAGGAGGAGGGGGCATCTCGGCAGCCTACGGGCACACTCTTGGGGCCTCCTGGGAGCTTCCTGGGAGCCTCTTGGAAGCATCTTGGGGGCCTCCTTGGGCCTCTTGGAGGCCTTTGGGGGCTTCTTGGGGGCCTCTTTGGCCGTCTTCGTGGGCTCCTGGCACGTCTGATAACGTCGGAAGCCGTCTTGAGGGACTCTCTGGGCCCTCTTGGGGCCCTCTTGGGGTGCTCCAGGGCCGTCTTGGAGGCCATCTTGGGCGTCTTGGAGGCTCTTGGGCCCTCTTGGGGCCCCCTTAGGGCCGTCTTGGGGGCCTCTTGGGCCGTTCTGAGGACATCCTGGAGGCCTCTTGGGCGATCTTGGGGCGATCTTCTGGGGCTCTTGGGCCGTCTCGGGCCGTCGGTAGGCCGAAAAGAAACTAAATACCAAAGTCACTCAACAACCAACGGAATATCAATGATTTGGGCCTCTTCGGGCCTTCCTGGAGGCCCTCTTGGAGGCCTCTTGGGCCGTGTTGGGCCATCTTAAAGCCATCTTGGGCCGTCTTGGTGGGCGCCTGGCCCGTCTGGCGCCGCGGGAAGTCGTGTTGGGGGCCTCTCTGGGCCCTCTTGGGGCCCTCTTGGAATGCTCCAGGGCCGTCTTGGAAGCTCTATTGGGTGTGTTAGAAGCCTCTTGGGCCGTCTTTGGGCCCTCTTGGGGCCGTCTTGGGGGCCTCTCTTGGGCGATCTTTAGGGCTCTTGGGCCGTCTCGGGCAGTCGGTAGGCCGAAAAGAAATAAATGCCAAAGTCCTTCAAACACCGACGGATGATCAATGATTTGGGCCTCTTCGGGCCCTCCTGGAGGCCCTCTTGGAGGCCTCTTGGGCCGCACTGGGCCACCTTAGAGCCATCTTGGGCCGTCTTGGTGGGCGCCTGGCCCGTCTGACGCCGTCGGAAGCCGTGTTGGGGGCCTCTTTGGGCCGACTTGGGGCCCTCTTGGAATGCGTCAGGGCCGTCGTGGAAGCTCTATTGGGTGTGTTAGAAGCCTCTTGGGCCGTCTTTGGGCCCTCTTGGGGCCGTCTTGGGGGCCTCTCTTGTCTTGGGGGCCTCTCTTAGGCCGAAGGGCTCTTGGGCCGTCTCGGGCAGTCGGTAGGCCGAAAAGAAATAAATGCCAAAGTCCTTCAAACACCGACGGATGATCAATGATTTGGGCCTCTTCGGGCCCTCCTGGAGGCCCTCTTGGAGGCCTCTTGGGCCGCACTGGGCCACCTTAGAGCCATCTTGGGCCGTCTTGGTGGGCTCCTGGCCCGTCTGACGCCGTCGGAAGCCGTGTTGGGGGCCTCTTTGGGCCGACTTGGGGCCCTCTTGGAATGCGTCAGGGCCGTCGTGGAAGCTTCCTGGGGCGTCTTAGAAGCCTCTTGGGCCGTCTTTGGGCCCTCTTGGGGCCGTCATGGGGGCCCCTCTGGCAGTCCTGAAGCCATCTTGGAAGCCTCTTGGGCGTTCTGGGGGCGATCTTTGGGGCCTCTTGGGCCGTCTTGAGCCGTCGGAAGGCTGAGAAAAAGCAAATACGCAAATCCTTGAAACCTATGGGAAATCAATGATATGGGCCTTTTCGGCCCTGCTTGGCAGGCCGTCTTGGAGGCCTCTGGGATCTTGGGCAGTCTTGGGCCGTTTTGGAAGCTTCTTGGGCAGACTTGGAAGCATCTTGGACCCTCTTGGGCCGTCTTGGGGGACATTCTGGACCACCATAGGCGGACTTGGAGGCCATCTTGGGCAATCTTGGCCGTCTTGGAGGCATCTTGGAATCCATTCGGGGCCATTTGGGGCGTGAAAGGCATTGACATGCGCAATTTGCGGTCCGGAGCCCCAAAGGGAGTTCTTGTGGAAAAAAACCAAAGGAAAAACGGTAGCGTCTAGCACGCCAGGCCCCCGTGACAAGCACAGGGGTCGGCGGATTTGATGGCCTTCGGCCCATCCCGTCACCGTCCCTGGGTCGTAGGCCATAAGCGGCTAGGGTGTTCGTTGGGATGTCGCGGGGGGCTTCTCATTCGTTGGGATGTCGTGGGGGGCTTCTCGGGGGCCTCGAACTCGCAGTTTTGACATCTGTTGGGGGCCTTTCGGGGGCCTCTTGGGGCGTGCTGGGGGCCCTCTGAGGGCCTCCTGGGGCCTGTTGGGGGCTTCTCGGGGCCTCCTGGGGGCATCTTGGGACGGAAGGCTCGAATTGTCGGCTCGGGCACTGTCGAATTGTCGGTCGGAATTGTCTCGGGGCCTCCTGGGGACATCTTGGGACGTGAAGCTCGACAAGTCGAGAAGCCCACGCATGTTGAAAATACTGAGCCCAAGAGGAATCAAAAGGATCGCTGGCTCTCGGGATCCTCTCGGGCAGGCTCTCGGAGCTGCCCTGGGGCGCATGTTAGGCCATCTTGGAACCACCTTGGTCTTGGGCCGGTCGAGTTGCGATTCGAAGCGCCCGTGGGCCCTCTGGGCGGGCTCTTGGAGGTTGCTTGGCCCGTCTTGGGCCCCTCCTGGCCCCGAGACAAGAATCGCGCGCCGCCGCTCGGAGCCCAGGGGGCGCGCGCCAAGTCCAAGGAGGTTTGAGAGTTTTGGGTGGGCCGCTTTGAAGACTCGTCAAGAGGGAGGGCGGATGCTCAAGGAATCGAGCAAGGACACTCCAACTCGCGTTAGGTCCGGCACGTCCTCCCACAGGGGGGTTTTGGACGAAAACAACAAATAATAAAGCAATGCCGCGCATGGCCAGCGCAAATGAATCTCGGAGCTCCACCGCGCCAGGGGGCATGACTGCGCGAAGCGCCCTGCATCAAACTTTTGCTGCGAGTGCTGCTTCGCCCAGTGGCCAAGAGAACGAGCGAGCGGGCCAGCTGGCGGCGAGAGCCGCGCTGGTGGGATCGCGAGGGCACAGAAGCAAGACCTCGACCCCATCTGAAGGGAAGAGGTTGCACAGGAAAGGTGGCAGTGCGGGGGCGGCTGGTGGGCACCTCGAAACTTGAGCCCGAACAGGCAGCGGCGCTCTCCCGCTGCGCCCCCCGCTCGCTAGATCATTCACGTGCAAGCAGAAACCGTGAACCTCGGAGCTCCACCGCGCCAAAGGACATGACTGCGCGAAGCGCCCTGCATCAAACTTTTGCTGCGGGTGCTGCTTCGCACCGTGATCAAGAGCGGGCCAGCTGGCGGCGAGAGCCGCGCTTGTGGGATCGCGAGGGCGCAGATGCAAGACCTACACCCCCCTTGAGGGACAGAGGTCGCACAGGAGAGGTGGCAGTACTGGGGCGGCTGGTGGGCGCCTCGAAACTTGAGCCCGAACGAGCAGCGGCGCTCTCCCACTCGCCAGACCATTCACGTGCAGGCACTAATCCTGAACCTCGTCCACCGCGCCAAGGGACACGACTGCGCGAAGCACCCTGAATCAAACTTTCGCTGCAGCTTCAGCCAGCGATCAAGAGAACGAGCGGGCGGGCCAGCTGGCGGCGAGAGCCGCGCCGGCGCGATCGCGAGGGCGCAGATACAAGACCTCGATCCCTACCCATTCGCCAGAAGTGTCCTGGCCTTGGCCACGACAAGACGCGCCAGAGTCTGACAGAGCTCCACGGGATAAGGGCGCGCTCTCGCGGTCCAAAAAACACCGTTTGGGTGTTTTCCCTATGAAGCAATGTGTCGCGTACCAGTCGCACTGCATCTAGCTTGGCTGCTTTCGCATCGTCTGTGCTGCGAATGCACTGGCGGCCACTTGAAAAGGAGAAATGTCGTCGCCTTACGCCGCGGCACCTGATGCTGACAGAAATCCACATGCGCTCACTCTTCTTTGGCATGGCTCGCTATCGAGCGGAGTCCGGCATCGCAGCGGCTCGCGCTGGGCAGTCCCCAGATGTCCCCATCGCTTCTCAGCGGCGGCGGGCCTCGACCATCCAGCTTTCTGGCTCTCGACCGCGTCTTGCAGTCCAGGCCGACATGGGCGCCCATGATGGCCCCGCTCTGGACGCGGCTCAGAAGCGTGTCGATGACGTCTGGGCTCCGAAGGTCCGCGCCGCAGCCGTCGGCGATGTCCCAGCCCCGCGAAGCCCACCCAGCGGTGGCGACAGCTCGGGCCAGGCGCGCGGAGCCGTGCATGAGCTCGGCGCCACTGCGTTACGGCCCCGCGCCCGAAGATCCGCCGCGGCGGCTCGCCGTCGTCGCCGCTTGCCGCGGACCTCGGCGCGCCGCCTGTAGCCCCCGCGAGGGCCTCTCTCCCTGGCGGGTCGACCCCGGCGCCGTCTCCGGCACCTTGTGGAGCTTGTCGGGCGCCGCGTCGGCCTGCTCGCGGGTGGCGGCGTCCAGCTCGGCGAGCTCCTGCTGCAGCAGCGCGTGCGCCTCGTGCCGCTTCGTGCTGTAGTCCGAGGCCCAGCGCCCGCGGCCCTTGATCTCGGCGAGAGACCAGTGCCGGCACAGGCGGTCGTGCGACGGGCCGCCGCGTCTGAGCTGGTAGGGGGCGCAGTGCCGCCCCGGGCGCACGAGCTGCAGCGCGCGCCGCCAGGGCCGCCCAAGCTCCTGGGCGTTCGAGCCGAAGGGCAGCATCGTCGGGGCGGCGGTGCGGCACCTCGCCGCCAGCGGGCCCAGCCGCGGGACCTCCACCGAGTCCAAGAGGATGCTCTCGTCCGCGAGGCCCCCTCGGACCGAGGGGCGCAGGTTGGAACCGCAGTGCTTGCGCGAGCCGCTGGGGGGAAGACGTCCTGCTCTTGGTGGCCGAGGGCCTCGCTTGGCCTGAAGTAGGCCCAGAACATCACCACTATCATGATCGCCACCTCCGGGGCCGCGAGGTCGAGATCGCGCTGGCCAGCAGCGCCGTGACCTGCCAGGGGATTGGCGGCCGCGTCTGCCCTGGATCGAGTCGCTTCCAGCCCTGGGGCGCCCTCGAAAATCGAGGCAAGCGGAGCGACCCCTTTCGGGGGATGTTTGGGCGCTCCGAGATTCACGCGGCATAGGTCTTCAGCAGAACGGCCCTCTCGAGGCCTGTGCCCCAGGCGAAGTCGGCGCAGTTCGTCAGCGCCATGTCGGCGTCCGCGGCGGTCGCGAGCGGGAGGCTGCGAGCAGCCGCGGAACTCTGGAACTCCGCCAGGGCCTCTTGGTAGTTGCGCTGGGTCTGCGGGGCCACCGCGTTCCACTCCAGGAAGCCTCTCTCGTCGGGCCCCAGCAAGTGGCAAGGGCCTGAGGTCTCCTGACGCCTCGCGCCCCTCTCCGCCCTGGAGGCGCCGACGAAGGGGCGGCACTCTAGGAAGTCCTTCCTCGCCAAGCTGCGGCCAGCTGCCGGCCTCTTCCGCGCTGCCGGGCCGAAGCGGCTTACGGCTCGACCTCGGCCCCCAGCGGCGCGAACCCCCATCGGCCGCGTTGAGCTCTGAGGGGATCCAACGGTGCTCGGGCTTCGAACCACTATCAACGGATAGAGCGGCCTCGCGACGGCAACATATTAGAGGCGCATAAGCGGCGCACTTTCCAAGTCCCAAAGCCAGCGCAGTCCAACAATTATAGCGACGGGCTCCATGGCGTGAGCCCTGGCCGAGGCAACCTGCTTCCATGCGCCGCCCCGAAGGGCCTCAAGAGGGGCCTCGTTGAAGCCGCGGTTGAGCTCCCAGGGGTCCCACAGGTGGTCCCCGTCGGAGATCCTCGGGGCCTTCGTGGTGGAGGTGTCCTTGAATGCGTCCAACTGGGGCTCCTCGTCAGCATGGTGGAGACCTCCTGGACCCAAAGCGGACTGACGTGCTTGAATCGCCGAAGACGTCCGACATCTCCATCTCCCACTGACTGATCCAACATTCTTGACAGGCGAAAGCGGAAGAACTGTTTCGCGAGCGGCCACCCCTGTGAGACAGGCGTCGCACGCTGTGACCACGGCGCCCCACGGCAGCCTGAGGTCGGCCGCCACGAGCGGAAGCAGGCGGCGGAACTGCAAGACTTCGCATTCAGCTGACGGCCGGAGACGGGCGCGCCTGCTGTAACAGTCTCTTACGAAATCGCACAAGTTTCTGAGAATACATAACATATCCCTCCTCCACATGATGTGATCTATCATATGTCCAATGAACCGTCCCACCTCCCTCCCAGCGACTCGCGGCCGCTGCTCCAGCCAGAGCGAGGCCTGACTTGGGCGCTCGGTGCGCTCGGCCAAGGCTGGTGGCGGTCTGTAGCCTCCACCTCCTCATGAATGAGAACTCCATGACGCTTCCGTTGGGTGCACATGGCATTCAGGATATTGTTGCAGCGAACCGGGTCGGCGCCGATGACGTCGATGTTCTGTGGGCAGCTGGTGTCCCCATCGGCG